GTGCGCTGTTCAGGGCGGGAGGGCGCTCGCCGGCAGCTCCTTCCTAAGCCACCCTTCTTCAAGGTGAAGGTGAGGTGTGGAGTCTTCTAAAAAGACTTCCTTCAAAAAGAAGACGTGGGGCTTCGACTGCAGAGCTTTGTAGCTTTTTCTTGATGGTCCTTGACAGTCCCCTCCAGCCGGCTGGATACGTGCGTAGAGGCAAAGCACATCTCGCAATTCCATGTGCCTCAGGCTTTGAATTTAGGGCACCGTGGGAGCTGTGTCTGTACAGACCCACACACCCACGGATTGCCGTGAGGAAGGGAAGAGAACGTTTTTTCCTGCTCGAGACATTAGCGGGGAGGGATGCCTTTAAAGGTGAAATTCCTGTGGGTGAACATAGGATGCTAATAAGTAGTACATTTATCAGAGTGGTGCTGCAGAAACCAGCAGTATAGAAGCTGCTGTTTAATACGCTCTGTGTAACAGTTTGCTATTGGTAATAACAATAATAACAATAATGGGTAATGTGTGCCTAGAAATATCTTTTAAGCTCCTTGTTTCTCAGAGTCCCTTACCTTGTTTTAGGTAGTCAAGCCGCATACTCCGTTAATTAAGTTCCCAGACAGAAAAAGTAGTCCAAGACCTAAAAGTAAGTATTGCATCTATAGCTACAACTCCTGACACATTTCTTGCGTTTACTGTTTTATGTAAGAACCAGCACACAATTTTTCTGTTTCAACCATGCAACTTAACTGATTTTGAGCAGTTTCCAGAATATAGCTGTTCTAGTTGGAAGGCAACTCTTACAGCTCTTCCTTTTCAGACTCTATGCAGCCGTGGGGAATACACATCATACATGTATGTCTTTATTTCTTTAGTAAGGCAGATAAACAAAGATTTCCAGTGTTGTTTTTCTACTTACATATAAAGTCCCGTTTCTCTAAATGCTAATTTTTACCTGAAATTATTGTAGCCTGGTTAGTTTGATGCAGCTTTAGGTGTTCAATGATAATTACAGAAATGATGTTGCATTTTCCTCATCTTTTCTTAGCTGGACTGTGTGATGTCTGTGGTATTTAAAATCTTGATTATAGCTGGGGGAGCCATACCACTGTACATTTTAAGAAGTAGTTCCTTGTGCTACTAATTAACACAGAGAGAAAGTTAATTTCATTGCACTCCTTGACATTAAAATTTATACCTCTATCTATGTTGATACTTAGAGGATTCCAAATACTGTTACATTTAAACGTCAAAGTTGTCTGACTGATATATTGTTTTAATATTCCTTTTGAGTCAACAAAGCATTTGAAACTAAAGTAGATGATGTCTTAAGAAGCACTGTTATTTTCACTAGTATAACACATTATTTGCTACAGCATTATCACATTTTTGATTTAACTTTTTTAGTTTATCCATTTACATTCCAAAGTGTCTACAGTGCATGTCAGTGCCACTTAGGGCTTGCCTGTGAACTCTCCAGGAACTACTTTCTGTTGTAACTTTCTGTCAGAATTCTGTATGTTGTGCACAGTTTAGCCACAGGCACCACCTCTCGTGCCAATGAACTGCTTTCTTAAAGGATCTTCCCTCTTGATTACTTCTGCATCAAAAGATTTTTGTGACTATATTTTTTAAACACATTAGACTTTTCTGCCTTAATCAGGTCCTGTCATCTCATTAGTAAATTGCAATCTACTTCATCTTGCTCTAGCACTGTATGAGACTGTTGCTTCTCCGCAGCCAACCAGAGCTCTGCAGATTAAGAGTAAACTTCTGGGGATGGGGGTGCTTGAAAGGCCAGCCAAATTCTTTTACAGTATTACTACTACAACATGATGGTCTCAAACAGGGAAGGAAGACATGTAGACAGTATCTGAGCTAAAGCAGCAGCAGTCTCAAGTCTGGTCCTTTTGAGTCTTGACTTCTGATGTTTTTAAATATCTATTGCGTCTACACCAACTACACTTCAGACTGAAACATAGAGAAAAAAACTTGGCAAATCTCTTAGATATTTTTGTGATCTATGAAACAAACTTGGAAAAACTGTTTTGGTTTTTTTTTTCATGTATCAAGTGTGTTATTTCTTGAAACAAAAATACTTTGCCCCCTGGTCAGAATATGCTCCTTGTGGCAGGCTGTCTTCCTGCTCATTCTGTTTGGGACCTTCCATTGTTCCTGAACTTGGGACTTTCAGATACAGTCTTGTAAGAATTTCCACATATGCCTCTTAGTGGTGGCTTTTTTCGTTTTGTTTTGTTTTTTAACCAGTTGTGGTTTGATCACATTGATGCAGGTCTTTGAAGTCCCGATCCTGCCTCTGACTCAGACTCACTGTGGCTGAAACTGGCTCCTCTGCTTTGATCTTGTTGGAAGCAGGAGGGAGAGAGGCAGGCAATGCTGTGGTATTTTAACTCCGTGCGTTCTTTAACTCATCCAGTCTTGATGCTGCTTATTTTATAATCATACGGTTCCTCTGTCCCAGCAGTTTATGTGTTCCATTTGTCTTTTGATTTTTCAGGGTCACTTCCACAATAGTGGAAGTGTTCTGCTCTATCTGGTGTTTTTACCTGCCCCACAGAGGGCAGTTGGAGTGCTTATGAAGTAAATACATTGCTGTCAGACTCCATCCTGCCTGCCTCCATCCGTGTGGAGGGTTCAGGCTGGGCTGGCTGCTGAACGCTGGCATATGCTCTCTAACCCCCTCTCCCTGCCCAAACGAGAAGGAAAAGTGCAGCCTCTTAGAAGAGACTGAGCTGGGAAGTAAGAATCATTAAATAGAATTGATTCTGTTTAGCTCAAACCAGGACATGGAGTAATTGTGTACTTCCATGGTAAAATCAGCCATGGTGGAACAACTCTTAAGGTTTAGAGTGCTGGTTTTGACAACACTGTCCTTTTGTCATCTCTTCTCCTATCACACACACAGAATTGCCTAGATTGGAAAAGACCTTCAAGTTCATTGAGTCCAATCATTAACCTGACACTGATAAGTCCTAAACCATATTCCTCAGCACTATGTGTACTTTGCCTCCAGAGATGGTGACTCCACCACTGCAATGGGCAACCCATTCCAATGCCTGGTAACCCTCTCAGTAAAGAAATTTTTCCTGATATCCAATCTAAACCATGTCACGACCCAAGGTTCAGGACGTGATTCAGGTTCACTGATTCCCAGGCCAGGATTAAGGTGATTTACACTAAAGATTGGAACAGCAATTTTATTTTATTTATCAGTCAGTTGACAACGACATGTTTCAATTGCCCACTCAGCACAATCAACACACTTCACAACAACTAGTTACTAGTAAGCAAAAGAAACTGGCCTTGCCATAGATAGCTTCCTATTAAAGCAAGAAAGAAGGAAAGTGATAGGAAAAGGAAAGACCACCACCCTTGGATCCAGCGACGACCACGGCACACACAGCCGTCTCTGAGTGGTGGGTGAAAAAAGTGCGCAACTGCCCGGTGTGAGTGCCTTTTATACAGTCAAGTTCCTCCCACAGACCGGGAACCGGTTTGGGGGATGGCGGGGGCTTCTGAGGAGCCACAGCCTCCAAGCCCTATCCACCCCCACAGCTCCAGCAGTGCAGGGCTGGGGCAGGGGGCTCGGCAGAGCACTGAGTCATATCCACACAAACACAGGCAGGCACCAGGCCGGCAGCTCTGAGTTGTTTAGGTTCCAAGAAAACCTAGACTGTTTGGGACATTTGCTTAGTCCCTGACAAACCAGTATGCTGTTTCTACACTTAGTGGCCACATCCTTGAAGTCCAAAATTTAACTATATACGGTTCCAGTATTTAGCAGATGACAGACAAAGCAGATTATGCAACAAGTCTTATTCAGAAGAATTAAAAATGAAAGATAGTATGTAAGCTGCTGGTTTAGTATTGAAGGTGCTTAGGATTCAGTGAAAAGTTCATTGAGATCTGTGGGAATCTTTCTACCAATTTCTAAAAGAGCAGATCAGGCCTTTACACTTGCACACTTTTACATATATGAGTAGTTCTGTTTGGACTTTTGGACATAAAAGCAAAGATCTGCTTTTTTACTGTTAGGTATCGTGTTACTTCGTAGTCCAGAACTGGTGTTTAAGTTCCTCAGACTCAAAGCAACTTCTCTAATGTGAATTCCTTAAGTGTAGCTCCTGTGAAGTGCTTCATGCACTCCTTGGTCTCTAAATTTCATTAACATGCATTGCTGATGCCTGTTACTTGGTGGTCATTCTGCAAATCATTCACAAAAATTAGTGTGATGCCATTTTGTTAAATTGAAAATGGGTACAACACTGCATTGCACGTTGTGGCTGTGTCATAATTGTGAACTTTGTCTTTCTGTAAGCCTCTGCTCCTCTTGTCTGTCTGTACAGTCGCAGTGAACAGAAAATAACATCTCAGTGGATCTTAGCGATTTTTGTTAGTTATCTTCCTACATCATTGTCTCCACACATACATTTCTGATACTGTATGCTTTTTTTGGACGTACAGCTTCCCAGTGAAAAAGACTTTTTTAGCATATATGCTGTTTTATCCTCAGTTTCCACATCAGTAATTCTGCCACTTGGATATACTTTCTTTCATTGCCAGACTTTTTTCCTTATGCTCTTGGTGTATTTAACAACATTAAAAACAAGTTGTGAGACTTACTGTCTTAATTCTTTTATGTGCTTGCAATAGTGGAGAAAACTGTCAGTAACTAGTGACTCTTTATTGTCTGCTCATTGATTAATTTTACAGTCTTTTTATATCCTATAAATGGTTTTACAATCTGGGTTTCAGTACAGGAATCTCTACAAGCAAGTGTGCCATCTCTCCATGCTTCGAAAGCACAGGAGTCTGTAGGAGGCAGATCGCTGGCCTTTCAAAATATTTCACCTCTTAATAGAGTACCAGGTACACCAGACACTTCCGAATTAGCAAGAACCTTACCTCAGAAATACAGAAGGAAACTTGTGTCAGATGAAGAGATTGAGTACATTCAAGTAAGTTTCACTTACTGGTGTATATTATCTGTATTTACCTGGCATTTAGCTTATTTCTACACCTTCTTGAAAGTTTAAGGTCTGGTATTACATTATAATTCTTGGTCAGGGTGCTCTCCCAGCTTCTGTGACTTTGATGCGCAGTACCCAAGCTGCAAATTCTTCATACAGAAGTAGCTTGTGGTATCGCTGAGTGGAGAGATACGGGCTTAAAACAGACATGCGCATCACTAACAATAGTCATCGCCTGCGTTAACCACTGTCACTACTCCTTTTGTAACAGCCGTTTAATGTGTATTTCGAATTGCTGGACAGGAGTACAGGAATCTGCTCTTAGACCAGCAAAGGCTATTACCACGTGATTGAAGTCTAAAATATTTATAAGTTATTTATTAGTAAGTTAACTCTTTTATTTCAGTGCTGGAAACATTTTTTTTAAATACAACTATTTTTAAAATACAACTATTTTCTGCAATATTTGCAAATATGACATGGTACATGAAAGGAGGGGAAAACCTGCTTTTGTTCTGTAACGTTTCTCGTCTGTAAACACGAATGCTTAGAAAGGGAGAAGGCACACAATTTCAAGAACCTGTGAGATGTGAGTTTGAAATGAGAAGGTACCTATGTAGCTTTGTTAAATGGTAAGGACCCCGACCGTGTAATCATGTTAGTAGAGGAAATTGGTTTTCCTACATGTATATGGGTAGAGTATTGTAATTAGAAATAAAATTAGAGTATTATAAAAAATATTATTATAGTATTATAATTGGAAAGAAAATTACATTCTTGACTTCTAGTATAAATTTTCTAATGCTGAGGTAAGTTATAAAGTATTTTTGTTGGGAAAATAATGAATACCATTCTCATTTCTCACAGAGATCGTAATGGCTCACCTTGGCTTTTTTTTTCTACTCTGCACTTTGGAATTTGGGTGGCAAAAATAATTCTAAAACTTGTGCTCTCTGCTGCTGTGTTTGTTCTTAAAGCGAGTGAGAGTCCGGTTTCTTCAGAGCGGGAGAAGCTGTGATTGTAGGCTGCAGGTGTTCTCCCCTGAAGAGAGTGGAGCTGGTGGATGCTGACATTTGACAATCTCCATGTTCTCATACAGATGAAAAACCAATGTATAAGTCAGACACTACAACTAGAACTCTGTCAGTCTCTAACAGTGCAAAAAAATGTTTATTCTCCGTTTCCCACTCTTTTAGTGGAATATATTAAACTGTTTGCTTTTCTTTTGCAGCGTGGA